TTTCAGGCCATTCTTCTAAGCCAAATGTACTTTTCAAAAAGGATTCATGTTGTACATACCTCTTTGGTAATGATCTTTTTATACTTAACATTCTGCGACCACATCAATAAATATTAATCTGCCATGTAATCTCAGTAGCTGAGAAGTATCATGATTCATTTATTTTACCAATTCCCTGATGTTGGACATTTACCTTGTTATCTATTTTGTAAATAACTTCATGATAAACATTCTTGTAGCAAAGTGTTAGCTATATCTTCATTTTCTTAGGCTAACTGCCTAGAAGGGGAAGGGCTGTATCAAAGCTAATCTTTCAAGGCCTAAAAAATATATTCAGTGCCAAATCCAGCAGTTTGTTGTATATCCACCAGGAATGTATCAGTATTTTTTTAAAAAACTGTATAGTACACTCTTTTATAATTTATGTGTTACAAATATTACACAAATATAAAAATTTTTAAAGGATGAGATTAAAAAAACTAACTTCAATAACACAATAATGGCCGGTAGTTCAATCATTTATTCAAATATTTTAGCTTTATGTGATAACAAAATATATTAAAATTATGCATTAAACAAAGCTCATCAGGAAATAATTACTAATTTGGGTAATATGCCACATGATTAAATGCTTCTCACAGAGAAATTTCCAAGGTTTACTACTGGCATCTTAAATTTTACATACTATGAACATAATGCTTTAAATTTCATTTTAAAAAACGGCTCAATTCTGAGTTAGATATAGCACACTGAAAATATATTGACTTAAGCTTAAATTCTGCTACCAAGTTATAAACAGTCGATTCAAGCAGAGCACTCAGAACCATGCCCGGCACACAGCTAGCCTCAACAAATGTTAGCTGTTATCATTACAACTGACCACAAAGCAACAAAAAAGATAAATTGGTCATGAGATACCTGCTTGTAAATCTGGCCTTTCTGCAACTTGTGGATTTTATCCCAGAGTAAGACACCTTTCTCATTCACCTTCCGGAAAGGTCTGACAACAGAAACGGGAAATGTTATGACATGTGGCAGCAGTGCAGGCTGTCTGCTGTATGAAATACTACACGGTTACTCACTGGAAACAGAGAGGAGCTCCACAAACCTGAAAAGGCCCCACAACAAAAATTCCACCCCCACATTCCCGGGCCTGGTGCAACAGATGCCAAACCGCGGACCCCGGTGTCCAAAGGCGATTAGAAAAAAAGAACTCGAGGGTCAACTAAATTTAGAAGACACTCTGCACTATCTATGCCCCTCTTAAAAAGTCACTGATGGCTCTGAAAAGCCCTCCTGTAAAGAAACTTCCTTTAACCCAGATTTCCTAAATTTATTTGACCATACAGAAAATGCTTCCCAAGAAAAGCTTATGGAAATACTGCCTCAGTCCATTTACCCTGCTTTGTACTTGAAATCCAGCCACTCTAGATATAAAACAAATCAGAGGACCAGGTGTACTATTTTATGATGGAACATGGCAAACAAGAATAAGGCCTCATTCCTGCCCTGCCGGTGCTAGTGCAAAGGGCACAGGGTTTGTCCTTTTTTTTAAGGTAACACTTACTTGGATTGTTTTTCTGATTAGAAAAATATTAACTCACTGCAAAAAATCTGGAAAATGCAGAAAAATATAATGAAAAAAAGGTAAGTCACCCATAATTCCAGTACCCAGGTATAAACACTTAACATTTCAGTAGATGGTCTTTCAGTCTTTACACATCTGTTATCTTTCTCTTTTTTATGACCATAAAATGAGAATCATTTGTGTATACTGATTTTTCTTTTTTTCTCTGATGTTGTGAGCAATTTCCCATGTGATTACATATTCTTCATACATCATTTTTCACAGTCATAAAACATGCCCACTGCTTTTCAAATACATCATTTTTAATGGCTGCATAATATCCCCTCATATGGATGTTCCTTTAGGTTGTTTCTGACCCGCATCATTATAAATCACACAGAGGGGGCCGGCCCAATGGTGCAAGCGGTCACATGCGCGTGCTCCACTGCGGCAGCCCGGGGTTCGCTGGTTCGGATCCCGGGCGCGCGCCGACGCACCACTTGTTAAGCCATGCTGTGGCAGCATCCCATATAAAGTAGAGGAAGATGGGCACGGATGTTAGCCCAGGGCCAGTCTTCCTCAGCAAAAAAAGAGGATTGGCATTGGATGTTAGCTCAGGGCTGATCTCACAAAAACAAAAAAATAAAAAAAATAAATAAATCACACAGGGATGAACATGTGTGGAGGATCATTCAGCTGTTATTCCAGGCATCCGGAGCAAAGACAACATAAACAGGTGCAGCAAGGGAGAGAGCTGTGCTGGACACCACTCCCCACACCCTCTCCACGCCCCGCACCCCAGGAAATGAGTCCAAGACACTGTTCTGCATGTGCATACTAGATGACAAAGGAGAGGAGGTCTGCGATGAAAGGAGAGACAGGGCCCTTCTCCTGACCACACCCTGACATCTAATGAGAAAATGCAGGAGAGCGTTTTGTCAGTGACAAAGCAGCAAGCCAGTATTTATTGCTGCTTTCAATCAACATCCGAGTTTTTCCTTCATTCTCTCAAATTCTCACTCACTCTCTGCACATGGTTCTTGGGTTTGCCTCTTCTTCAAGAGTCACTGCCACACTTGGAAAACTGGCATTTAGCATCGCAAGAGGAATTTAATCCATTCAACACTAACTACAGGGCGCTGCATTATGATACTGTAAATCACTCAAGAGGAGGGAAAGGCTGCCTGGTTACCAACTGCAGAATAGATAAATGTGGGTAAAAGTGTTTCAACAATAGCCCATTATTTTATAAATATTATGAGTTATTTTTACAACCCTAGTGCAATAACTCTCAACACTATTGACATTTGCGGGGGACGACTCTTGGTGAACAGGTTTGTCCCACAAGTTAAAAGACATTTTAGGATCCCTGACCCCCACCCACTAAAATGCTAAGAGCACACCCCAGTCACCGTCACAACCCAAAACTTCCCCGCTCCTCTATCTCCCAAGGCTACGGTGGCAGAAAGACAACCTGTAAGTCTCGGTAGAGACGTATACCACTTGATGCAAAACCTAGGTTGCAGAGAAGTTCTGCAAACTCCAACTGCAATTTTAAATGCACCATTTAGAGCTCTAATTAAAGCGATACCCACCAGGTGCTTTGCTGTTGCTGTAGTTTTGTTATGCTTCCCGATGCATCTGCATCAAGAGATCTAATTTACTATGGAATATTAAGTTTGCATTTTTCATTGCTCTCAATTGCTTTCTTCAAGTCTGATTGAGGACTGAAGTAGCCCATGTTAAATCGAGAACCATTTTAGTAGGTGTAAGCTGTCTGTTATGTACTGATCCCACCCTCCGTGTAATTACTTGCTAGAATGGTTAAAAATCAAAAGCTATAATGTCAGATGTTGCGATTTTCCAACTGGATTTCACCAAAACACATTACCTTGGTATTCACAGCAGCAAATGAATCAAATCTAGTCCCCAGAAAGACACACACTCACCTCCGCTTATCATTAAAGAAGTTTGGTTTCTCGGCCTGAACGATGACCACATCAAACAGGTCCCTCCAATCTTTTCCAACAATATACCTCATCCCTTTGTCCCTGCAACAATGCGTCAGCCAGGTTAGTCTAACATGAAAGGGATTAATTATTTTGCAATTTTTTCTTCAAATTTCCAAGTGTTAAAATAAATGGAATACAAGATAAGTGAGCCAGAAGTCAGCAAGGAACACAGAACAACTTACACAAAACTGCTGGGGCTGTTGGTGATGAGAAACATCTTCTTGCCATGATCAGCCAGTTTAGCCAGCACCGCACGGGTCTGCTCGGCGTAGCAGATGTATTTTTCTAAGAGCAAGAGAAAAATTTGCACACAGACTCAGCATGAGGTCAGTCGATCTGCAAGTGCTATCTCAACGGGGCATACGGGGCCAGCACTGTCCAGGGCACTTGGGGGAAGAAAAGCCTTAAGGGAGCTTGGTTCGGGGTGGTCTAGCAGGGCCCAGTGCATCAGTAACCAAGACCCCGCCTCCTCGGTCTAGGTGGAATCTCCTTTTGAGTCAGGATTAAGACAAAGAGGAGGAGACGCCTGAGACGCAAGGACGCGAGGTCCTCGCCCTGCACTCAGAAGTGTACTGCAGCCCCTCCTCAGTCCCTGGAATGAAGACAAGACACCTGCAGGGTCGCATAGCAAAGGGAAAGGCTGAACCGATCTTCCCCATAATGTCGAGTACATACCAATATCGGCTTCGATCGCTCTGTACATGATTCCTTTGATGTGCACGTCTCGAATTGAGTCCTGTCAAGAGAGACGTTTTTAATCAGGGAAGGTATCGCTGAGACAGCCTGAAATGGCATTGGTGATGTCTGTCTCAAGAAGCCTGGCAAGGCAAGCACTAAAGGAAATCTAAATTCTGGTCCATTTCGCATAGGCAGCCCCTTAGGGAAAACTTAAGTTTCCATGGTGATAGTGGCGGTTTCCAATGCAATTTTCAAAAGGGTCACTCGGAGGAGGTAATTTTCGTGAACAATTCTGAATAAAGTTCCAGACAATAAATAGAAATTTATATGCAGTATCATGAACAAATGATTCCAGGTCATCTGAACAAAGGGAATTATTGCTCTTTTCATCTTGGCATCCTTCCCTACACCCCAACAGTAGGTTCTGTAATCTAGAAAAAAGAGGCAGAGACAAATGACAGGATCCTCCTCTCTCCAGTGCTACCAATGAGGCGAGGAACTGTCAGAGATCGTAACTCAGGCCGAGACGTGGTCCAGACGGCAGACACCAGGAAGAGGGGGCAGCCAATCCCTTTGAAGCCCAGGGGTGTGGCAGCCTGATACCTGGCAGGTATCAGAGCACAACCCCACTCTCAGGTGGCACTACGCAGGTCTACTACATAGGTGGCACTCCTGGAGGCACATAGAAACCTTCTGGAGCCTGTAGCAGGGGACTGGGCTTCAGACAAAACTGGGCTATAAGCCTTAGAAAATTGGTAGGAGATTCCTGCCAAGAGTGAGCACCTCTGGACTGTGAACTCAACCTCGAATACCTTCCAGCCTGGGCTTGTTTCAACTTCACATCAGCAGAAGGCAGTGGTTAAGAGCAAGCCAGAGCCACACTTCCTGGCTTGACATCCAGACTCTGCAACTTACTAGCTGTGTGATCTTAGGCAAGCTACTCAACCTCTCTGTGCCTCAATTTCTTCACCTGTAAAATGAGGGTGGTAATAATAGTACCTACCTCAAGGCATTTTTGTGAGGACTTAATTAGTTAATATGCATAAAGCACTCAGAAAAACCAGTGCCTGGGACATGGTATACTCTACATAAGTGTTTACCAGTGGTGGCTGTAATATTTATAGCAAAAACTGAATTTTCAAATAAACACCTCTCCTCATGAATGCAAAGGGTTACATAACTACAAGTGATTCTTAAAGATTCTTAAAGATGAAGTATTTCTGTGCACAAAAAGGAAAATAGAAACTAAATATTTAAATTTAGTTCAAATAACACAACACTGATATTAAAAAAGTATAATCATCCTTTACCTTCCCAAAACCCATGTTTCAGGGTATCAAAATTTTAAGTTACCCATAAACATAAAATAAAAACATTATAGTATATAAATATGGATCCTTAAAAATACATATTTAAATAAATTATAAATAAACAAATATGTATTTCTAAATACATGCTTAGAAATTTATATTAGAAATAAATATATATTGGGACTGGCCCCGTGGCGTAGTGGTTCAGCGCGCTCCACTTTGATGGCCTGGGTTCGCGGGTTCAGATCCCGGGCATGGACCTACACCACTCATCAACCATGCTGTGGCAGAGACCCACATACAAAATAGAGGAAGACCGGCACAGATGTTAGCTCAGGGCTAATCTTCCTCAAGCAAAACAAGAGGAAGATTGGCAACAGATGTTAGCTCAGGGCGAATCTTCCTCAAGAAAAAAAAAAGAAAAAAAAAAGAAAAGAAAAAAGAAAGAAATATACATTAAATAAGTAATATATACACATATTTTTAAGTACTGAGAAAAGTTTAGACAGCTTAAAGAATATATATATAAACATGTGAATGTGAATATAAACTAAAATATATAAAAAGTTATATAAATGATGTGTGTATATATGCATATAAATGTTTATGTTTGTCTACACTCCTCTCTGATTGGATTTTTGCACAGCTTTTGCAGGGCCTGGGAAAGCCTGTACGCAACCTTTGTGTGCAAGAGAAAAAGGCGCCCCCTCTGGGCAACTGCAGTCCCCTGAGCCTGCAGCCTGGGCCTGCAGCCTGTGCCATGAACGCCACCCTTGTATGAGGAGTCACCCCTCCCCGAGGACAGGCACAGGGGTGAGCTGGGCACAGGCTGGACCTCAGCCACCACTCACCCCTCGGGCCGGGTAAACTGGCCCTGGCCTTTGGTCAGAAAGAATTAGAAATCCAGATAAACAATATGAGCACCTTCTCCTTGTAACAACAAATTTGACTGATTTCCAATTCTCCTCACATAACATCTTTCTTACAATTTTCAGAGTTAAATTGCAAATAACAGAGATCCCCTGGGAAGGACTGTTTCAAACACCTGACCTACAAAGGAGGCTAACGATTCTGCTACTTCTGCTGAGAAGCTGAAAGGGATGCGGCATCGTCATCCCTCACTGTCAACACCACCTTGACATCTTTGTACAGGTGCACAGGCTCATAGTCGATGTTGTTCTTCAGAAAGTACTCGTTCACACAGGACAGGAGGGTCATCTCTGGCAGGGAGAAGATGTCCATGAACTGCTTCATGGTGTTTCCGTGAGAACTCTGCAGGCAGGGGGGAAGGCTTTAGAAACGGAGGCTGACACCACAGCAGAGCTAGACTTTGCACTTACCGAGGGGGATTCTGGTCGTCAACTGCTGGATCCCACTCCACAAGACAAAAAAATTTAACGATAAGAAAGTAAAAATATTCACCTTGTTTTTTATGGTTCACGGCAGAGCTGACGCCACACTCTAAGCACAATCGGGAAATCCAAGACATGCCCCGATTTCCCCCAAAAGTCTAACCGCCCTTCCCCTTCCACTCTCCTTGGTGCCCCGTCCAACTTCCAGCTCACACCCTCATCACAGAGGAAAGCTGGCAAGCAGATTATCGCCCCTGGAATGGCATAAAAAGCCACGTAACTCCCCTGAACTGGAGCACCCACACAGCCCATATGTCAGCTTGAAAAAGGGCATTTCTCTGAATGCCTGCAATTCATAACACTAAGTTTACCAGGTGACCGGGCACCTGCCACCGTATTTTGACAACGCAAGTAAGAGAGTGCATCTAAGAAGACAAGAAGCAAAAGTCTCGAGAGCAAAGAGAACTACAAAAGTTAGAAAAGCAGTTTATCCTTCAGGAGGGTAACTTGCTGCTCTCAGTTTCCGGGGGGGTGACAGCTAGTGACTTAATCCAGAAAGTGGGGACACATCCAGGGAGGCGGGGGCAAACAGGGGTAGGCACAAAGAAGGTGTAAAGAGCCTTCATCAGGTAGGACGGAAGAGGCTAAGAAGGGAGAATCGTGCAAGAACCAGGGGAGACTCTAACATACGGATCTCTCTCAAAACACAACCCCAAATTCCCTTATATGCGCGGTCAGAGTCCAGCAGTTCAAGATCCTCAATCTATGAGACCATGTTTCAAGAAGGAAAAAGACAAGCTACTTTAAATAAATAAAGCATTTCTCATTACCTTTCCATAAAAGTCACTCATCTGCTCCAAAGGCACATGGGACCCCTCGTACATTTCAATGACTTCTTCATCAGGGACAACGCTGAGGCCTCTGGAAAAATCACAGGCAGTGCAGTTAAAGAGCTCAACTAGAGACGGCAATGATTTTCAGACCTCTGGCAACTGCTGGGACTTTTCAACCGAGGTGCAAGACGCTGTTATCACAAGCAGGTGAGATGTGCCACCAGTAATTGCTACAAATAACAGGCAAGATGCTACTACTATTACTACTGCTACTATTCTATTGGCAATAAGAGGAGGAAAAATAATAGCTAACACTACACGGCATCTACTGTATGCCAGATATGAACTCCACATAGTCATTCACTTAATTCTCAGCATTCCTAGGAGGGGGCACTATTATTCTTCTCATTTTTCAGCAGAGGCAACTGAGGCACAGAAAGGTCATGTACCCTGCCCAAGGTCACCAAAGTAGAAAGTGGTGGGTGAGGACTGGATCCCAGGCTTTCTGGTTGTATGGCCCAGGCTCTTCAACCACTAGGTCACACTGCCTCCCTCAACACGGTACAACACCTCCTAACGACTTGCTTTGGGTGGGCTGGGTGTTTTTTAATGTTCTTAATACATTAGGGAAAGAAAGGCTGGTTCTATCTCCAAGATCCTGCTGCCCTCTGATACTCTACCATCAGAAGATCAATGCTGAAGGAGAAAAAGTCATGCATGTGGCTCGGGTGGACTAAACCCCGTGACACAAGGCAGGAAACCTGGGCACCACCTCCGAGAGGGATGACCCCAAATGCTGTGACAGTGAAGGCCAATTTCTCCATCCGTAAAAAGCTAAGGTAACATCCGCCATCTCCCTGCCTCCGGGAGCTGCAGCTGAATCCACAAAAGAACCAGCTCCTCCACACGGGGGGAAATGAATTCTGGAGTCAGAGAGGTCTGGATTCACCCTAGCCTCTGCCACCAGGTGTTTTCACCTGGGATTCAGCGGTCTCACGGTTCCTCCCCCGGATCGCCCACTCTAGAGCGTTCTGAAGGGAGATGTCTGCTCCTCAACCCCCTTCTCTAGAGAAGGCGCCTGAGAAACAGACACCAATGACAAGGAAACCAGAGAATGAACGATGGAGACTCCACACTGGGCCACCGTGGGAGGATAAACAATCCAGTAAGAATTTTAGTTACTAATACAAACAGGCTGCTTATCATACAAAATCACTTGGCCAATATCAAAATACATATAAAGTATCATTTTTGTTTGATATATAACTTTAATGAAAATATAACTTCAGCCTCTTTCCTCCATTCTCCACCCTCATATTACTTTTAAAAATATCCAAGGGGATTCATTAATATTTTGCCTCTGATCTTGATTAACTTGTTACAACTACTGTGAAAAGAAAAGAGGCACTATACTTCCCTTTATCTTTGCTCCAGATACCAGATAAGACACTAGGACTAAACCAGATCATTCTAGACAGTAACCTTGGAAAACAGCTCTTGCTAAAGTAGCAGCAGTCAGCTGTGCACACTCCTAAGGCTCTAACACTTAGAAAGAAACAGAAGAAGTAAGAGAATCCTGCTGCTGGCTGAGTTATTTTTCTGCCCGCGCACTAGGCTCTGCCCAGTCCTTCGGAAGCCACTGCCACCTCTAAGACACATTCACAGGCACGTGGACGCACAAGCTGCATCTTTAAGGCCCAAGTAACCAAACGTCGGCTCAGAGCACCGATGAAATCAGTCGGCTGAATCCACAGGAGGCAGCTCCTGCAGGGGGAGCACCACCCAGAACCGCCAGGACGGGCGCACTGTTGGCCACGCTGCAATGCAGCCCATGCCAGCGCTGGAATCAAAATGAAAACCACTCTACACTGCCCTGTGTGGTTATGAAAAATATAAAGGTTAGGAGCACAGATCTGAACGAGTAGGCCCAGGGTTCAAATCCCAGCTCCCTTAATTACTAGGGGTATTACCTGGACAATTTAACCTCTTTGGGTCTCAGTGTCATTTTGAAAATGAGGAACGATAACAGCACCTACCTCCTGGCGTTACTGAGAAGAGTACATGAGTTCCCACACACAGAACAGTAACCAGTGTGTAGTAAGCCTATCCAAGTTCACTGGTGTGACTGTGACAGGAACAACCCTGGCTTTTCACCAGGTTCCTATTAAGAACTTCAAACCTGGGCACAAGATGGCCTGCAGTGAGAGCCAGTCCTCCCCCTCCTCCGCCCAGCAGCACCCACTCCCACAGCCCAAAACATAAAATCCAGCTTGACGTAGGAACTGGAGACCCACAGCAGGTCTCAGAAATGGGGAGACTGAGACTGAAGCCTTCTTCCCCGCCATTCGCGCATCCATTCCCCCTTCTGAGGGGAAAAGGAAGAGAAGTGACAGTTAGGGGAGCCTATAATGCTTCAGGCACTGTTCCAAGCATGCTTTAGTCTTCAGGACAAGCCACCTGAGGTGGGCACTGGAATCGTGCCCATTTTACAGAGGGGCAAATCAAGGCTTTGAGACGGTCAAGAGCTTGCTCAAGCCACCCGCATGTGAGCGGTGGGGCCTGGGCTCACCCTCAGAAGTGTGACTCCAGAGCCCACGCACACACAACCCCGCCCCCTCAGCCCACCACACCCCCTCCTCTCTCAGCCCTGAGGCCACAGCGACCTTCCCAGGACCTAAATCTGAACACTTTCTCCCCTTTAAACGCCTCCACTGGCTCCTCCTCTAGCCCTGTCCATACTCCTTAACACGAGGGACAATTTATCTACAGAAAAAACAAGACAATTAGGAGTCACAGGATCATGTGGCCACAGAAGAGGAGAGAGAGAGACCACTTCAGGCTAAGGGGTGAGGAGAGGCCTCACCATAAGTCGGCCCTGAAGGAGGGCTAGGATTTCACGAAGCAGAGAGAAAGGAACACTGCATCCTGGTAGAACACCAGCATGAAGAGATGGCAAGCGGTGAGAAAGGAGAACTCAGAAGAAAGGAATATGTGTTGCTTTCGCCTGCCCAGAACCCACTCCCTCTGAGACTAGTTGAAACTGTTGGGAAGAGAAGCGCCTCCCTCCTCTCGACCTGGTTGGGGGACGGAAGTTTGGTATTGCCAGGGGTCACCACATGGAGGGGCTTCCCTGAGAGTGAGCTAACCCAGAGAGGAAAAGAGCCAAGAGATGGAAAGGGTTCTGACAACATAATTTTGCCCCTGGAGCCAGCCACACCTGCAACTGGCACCGTCCCTGGACTGTACAACTAGGGAGCCAATACTGTGTTCTTGATTAAGCCAGTTGGGGCTGGGTTTCAGTCACTTGCAACTAAGAGTCTTAACCAGTCCAGGACGTGAAGGAGCTGTGTACGGAAAACGGGGAAGCTAAGGGTCTGGAGTAGGCTGACTGGAAACCTAAGAGGCTTGGGCTCTATTCTCTAGACAGTGGGGAGCCATCTAGGATTTCAGAAGACAGGAGGGGGTTGTTGAGGGTAACACTTTAGGTAAGTCAGTCTAGCAACAATGTCCAGGATGGGATGCACTACAGAAAACCGCAAGAGCCAGGGGAGAGGGGGGGTAAGTGTCTGAGCCAGGGAGCTGGCGGTAGAAGCAGGGATGGAAGGACAGATTCAAAAGATCTGGCGAGGGACTTCCAGTTAACCCTTGTACCTTCAGAAAGGCCACACGGCATGCTGGGCAAGGGCACAGACTCTGAAGCCAGACTGCCTGGGTCTAAATTCTAGCTCAGGCACTTACTTCTTTGTGACCCTGAACAAGTTACTTAACATCTCTGGGACTAATAATAGTATCTACCTCATCAGGTTATTCTGAGGATCAAATGAGTTAACTCAAATAAAACCCTTACAGCAACGCCTGTCCCACTGCAAGACTCAAACTCTGTCAGCCACTATTTAGTATTACTAATATTATTATTCTCATCATCACCACCACCTCTTCTTCCTCCTGAAACACCACTAAAGCAACAGTAAAAGAGTAAAGTATAAACTGCTTAAAAGGTCAAAGGAAATAAGAGAAAAGACATCGGCAGACAAGACATTTCAACACATTTTTGGAAGAGAAATAGTGGATGAAAAGGAGGCACCTGACTTAGCAACACTGAGAACAGGGACCTGCAAGGGGGACGCCAACGAGAAGAACTGATTAACCACCAAAGATCCCCAGAAAGGCTCAGCCCTAGGAGGCACCAGGAAGCTACCGGAGGATGTGCTCCAGCAAAACGAGGGAGTAAAAGCAGCAAGAGGAGGAGATGGTAACCAGCGAACAGAGAAAGAGGCAAACGCAATCAGATTAGAGATTAGCACAGGAGGGGGTAGTCAATTAAAAAAAAAAAAAAGTGATAGATTACTTAAAACATTTGAATTGTTGGGAAATAAATACATGCTTGATATCTGTGAGGGAGCATTTAGAAAAAACTAGAGATACCTACACAGAAAACTAAGCAAAGAAAAGATGAAGTTATTATTAAATCTAAGAAAAACCAAACACTGTGCAAGAAAGGACACAATCACAGCGCACTGCTTGGCTTAAGAATGAACAAGCCCTGCAGAGTCATGATGCAAACGAGGATGGGGAAATAACCAGATACTGAGATCTCGGCGAGGTTAGAAGGATGAGGCTGGAGGAGGGAGTGCGTGTGCAAGAGAGCTAAATCCTCATCCCTCATAGCAGGGACGATGGCCAGAACTAATAAATTAGGAACTAGACAGAGGCCACCCTGGTGGCACAGTGGTTTAAGTTTGCTTTGGCGGCCCAGGGCTCCCAGGTTCAGATCCCTGGTAAGGACCTACACACCGCTCCTCAAGCCACGCTGTGGTGGCATCCCATATATAAAGTAGAGGAAGATGGGCACAGATGTTAGCTCAGCAACAATCTTCCTCAGCAAAAAGAGGAGGATTGGCAACAGATGTTAGCTCAGGGCAAATCCTCCTCACCAAAAAAAAAAAAAGGAAATCGAAGTACGAGCACTGATTAGAAATAGGAAGAAAAATACCAAAAAAAAACAATCTAAGAGATTACAGGCGTTCGGTGGGGAGTGGAGGACAGAGGACTGTTGTCCACTATGACATTTTTCATGCTATTTGATTGTAACTGTGCGTGTGTTTTACTTTGATAAAAAATATATATATACATATTAATTTTAACAGTTTGTAAGAGAGGAATCTAAGACACGCACACATCTTTTTTTAAGATACAATATATGAATCTAAATACAAACGACACTCCTAATCCCACCCCCAAATTTGAGAACTAGAAAAGGCAAAAAACTCTTCATTTTCAAAGTTACAAAGATTTCTAACTGAGCTAAGGGCTTCTACGAATTCTAAAAAACAGGGAAAAAAACTCTTAATATCCAAACTATATCAACTACCATGGTGGCAACAAGAACCTGTTCCCTCATCCCAGTATTCCCCCCCAAACCTCCTCTCCAGGACCCTCACTCAGCTGGCCCACCCTTGCCTCCGGAAAGCCTGTCCTCCCTCAGAGTCCTCCAGAGTGCTCCCTAATGGTCTGAGCACATGTCCATCATTGCCTCGGTCACTCAACTGCAGTCACCGCTTTACTGTGTGGCTTCCCATCTACACCCTGGGCTCCTTGAGGACATCCTTATAAGCTAAACCATTAGCATCTAGCGTGGTAGTAGGCCCCAACCAATGTTCTTGAAGGTGTGAGGGAAAGAGTGAATGAATGAATGAATCACAAACACACATTACAGCCCTTCTCATCACTAAAGAGTCAGTGGGTCTTAAAACCCAAAACCACTTGGTTACTTTGGGTGAATTAAATTTACCTCCTCTTACTCTTACCGGTAGACAGTTCCCAGCTGGATGTAATGAAAAGCATCAATCTTCATCAATACTGCCTTCAAAAACAGAAACACATGCGCAGGTAAATAACGTACAACAGTGTGCATATTTAATGACAATTCTGGTGCCATTGTAAACCTGATCAACAGTAAGTTGTTGTAACAAAGAAGCACACCGCATGTTTCTGAAAGGTTTGCTTGTGGATTAAAGCATTGTGCACCTCATCAAGGAAACAGTCTATCTGCAAAGAGGATATGACAACCGGCTCCTCCTCCAAACACCAAAAATGACTCCTGGAAATAAACAGTGTCTCCCAAATAGCTAAATGCAGTCATGCTTTTCTAATACACAGTTTCTCGAAAAAGACTTTATCCAAAGATGTTTTGAATAATTCAGTTCTGCAGGCTGAAAGAACATAATTTACAGTCAATTTATGTGTTCAGCAAAGAAAAGCACCGAGTACGCTTTATTCCCAAACACCGTTACACTGGAGGAAAACATGAGAATTAAACCTACCCGCTGCACATCATAATGAAGTCCACGAATTGCAAAACTTGGGTCATACTCGTACTTCCTGATTTCCACGGGATACTAAGAAGGAAGAAAGGAACCAGTTTTAGTTAACAATGTAGCAGTGAGTTCAAGATAGTGTCCAGATCTGATCCTTGCACAAAGGCCGAGGTGGCTGACGCGCTTGGGTCAGAAGGGACGGACCACAGCTTGTCCTTCTGCTTCCAGACCAAGCACCTCCTGGCCACAGAGCCGTATCCGCTCAAGCACAGGTGGGCCTCATCCCCTCCAATTTCTCTCCTCTTAAATCCCCCTCCCCTCCCTTCCCTCTGCCCCTAGACTCCCAGATCCCTGAGACCCCAGAAAGGCATCCACTTCTGCCTCCAATACGTCACTTCCTCCTACTGTGTCTAAGGCTGCTGAGGAGAAGGAGCTGGAAGGTCCCCTCAGTGAGAAGCACGACTTTTCCGAACATGTTGTCAACCATCCATTCATCTCACATTTTGAGCCCCTCAGTGTAGCAGATCCCTGGATGGCCCCACTACCAGGTTTCATGAAGAAACCCAAGGTGAAAACTTTTCAAAGGGATGCCCCCTCCATTTGGCTTTCACTGCTTTTCTTATCCGGACAGCTGGCAGCTGCCCACCCTCCAGGGGCTGGAGGGGCCCCTCAGCTGTCGGTACAGCCTTCCTCCCACTGGGTCCCAGAGAGGCCCCTTCTCAGCATGTGGCTCCCAGTCACTGCTCCAACACTGTCTGAGAACACACATGACTTCTGGAGGCAGCTCAGCTCCCCTGGCGTTTCCTAATTATTAAGCCATTCCTCAAACGATGGAAAAATCCGAGCCCTGTCTTATCTACTGCGCCAGGCATCCAGGTCCCTCCCTCCCTCCCCAGATCTCCGAGTTAGAACCCCAGCTATCCCGCCAACAGTACTGATAAGCCGGGCCCCGATTCTGCTGCTATGGCACAGCAGGCTCTGCAATGCCCATTTTACAGACGGGATATCAGAGACACCAGATAAAACAACTGGCCTGGGCCACAAAGCAGGGGCGCGGTGGGGCGGGGAGTCAGGCTCGGCCCTTTGCCCTTGCTCTCCACTCCCGTCCACCCTCGGAGCACAGACCTGCAGGACAGAATACCTATTCCTGAGTCTAGAGAGGTGATGTCACCAGGATCTTCCAATCATGATGTAAACTGCTTAAGTGAAAACCTAGACAACTATTAAGACACACAGGAAATCTCTTCACATAACTACACTAACTTTTCACAGCCAGGGTCACACCTGTGTGAGAACATTTCCCGGAACCACCAGGCTGAACCACGTGTGGTGAGTTTTCAATTCAAGCTCCATGAAGCACTGACAGACATGTCACATTTGGGTTCATTTATCTGACACCTGCCACGTGTGCCAAGAAATCACTAAATGACATTTGCACTCATGGGCGTTTCCAAGAACTCTGCACACTGTGCACGATTCTGCATTTTTACTGACGTACTTCACACACACACACACACACACACACACACAGAACCCAACTCATGGTACCACGGTTCTGCTAATTAAAGTGAGGCCAAGGAACTTCACATCTCTGGAATCTCTTTTAAACTCAGGAGTAATGAGTAAGGGATACGACAGGAGGGAGATATTTAAAATATTTTTGAGAGAGGTGTTTTACTGAGCCTCGGCCATGTTCCACACACTGTTCTAGACACTTTCAGTGACTTTATCTACTCCTCACTACCCCAGCAAGGAGGTAGGGCACTTCATGCCTGTTCTACTGTTGCATAATCTGAGGAGCAGAGTCAACAAAGTTGCCCAGGTTCACAAAGATAACAGTGGCCAGGTCAATACTTGAAACCAGGTCCGTGTCACACCCAAGCCCACAGCTACCCAGCCTGTAACCAATTCCGAACCAACCGTGAACCACCATACTAGATGCCTGTCACCTAGTGGTGACGCCTCAGGGGGTTCAATAAGTTTGCTGAGGGGCCAGCCCAGTGGCGTGCTGGTTAAGTTTGCGTGCTCTGCTTCGTCAGCCCAAGGCTCGCAGGTTTGGATCCTGGACGCGGACCAATACACCATTCATTAAGCCATGCTATGGCAGTGTCCCACATATAAAGTAGAGGAAGATGGGCACGGATGTTAGCCCAGGGCCAATCTTCCTCAGCAAAAAGAGGAGGATTGGCAATGGATGTTAGCTCAGGGCTAATCTTCCTCACCAAAAAAAAAAAAAAAAATCTTTTTGTTTAGGCCCAATCTGGTTTCCTTGAGTACCTGGATTTTCTTCTAATTCCAGGTACAATCTGGGCAGGCTAGTGGGTGGGGATAAAGAAAAAGCAAGGTTTCCCCTAGAAAATGCTACAGAAAGGTCCCTTTCAGCTTCAAGCCAAGTTAATACTAAAATACTGCAGAGACCCCAGGGACTCCCCATGTGTAATTCCTACAGTTCTGCAGCTTGGCTGTGTGTCCTCTTCCTGGCTAATTACAGAGCTCTGGACCCAGCTAGTAACCTCTACATTACAAAACTGCCTGAGTTCCTGAGGTCCAGATGCCCATAAATATATCCATTTTGCAGAGGTCTCAGTTTGATATTTAAAGTAGCCTAAATTATAAGTCTAATTTAAGGCAGGGCAGAAGGGCATAAAAACAAGCTCTGAGAAACCCACACAAAACATGAAGCTTGGGCAAAATGAGCGGCACCAGAGTGGCAATTCCACATGAAGCACGATACTCTCACTTAACTGCAGAATTCAATGAAGATGTCAGAGGTTTACTGAGCATATACTTTGTGCCAGGGCCTGGGAATATGGCAGCGAACAAAACCGACACAGTCTCTGCCCCTAAGATGCTTCCATTCTGCTGTGGGGGGCAGACCATAAATAAATAAACAAAGGAACACACAGTATAGTGCCTCGTAGCGATAAGTACTACGAAGAAAAGGTAGTACAAGGGTTCAGAGATCTGAAAATAAAGAAAAAGAGAGAGAGGGGCCAGCCCCAGTGGCCTAGCGGTTAAGTTTGGCATGCTCCACTTCGGCAGCCCGGGTTGAGTTCCCAGGCACAGACCTACACCATTCATCTATCAGTAGCCATGCTGTGGTGGCGGCTCACGTACAAAAAAAAAGAGGAAGATTGGCAGTGGATGTTAGCTCAGGGTGAATCTTCCTCAGCCAAAAAAAAAAGAGGGAGAGGAGCAAGGCCTCAGGCTGCCTGGGGGCAGAAGGATGCTTTCAAGCAGAGGAAACGCACAAGCCTTTGCAAGTGCAAAGGCCCGGAGGTAGGAACGTGTTTGGTGGTTCCAGAAGCAGCAAGGAGGCTGGTGTGGTTGGAGCAGAATGAGGGCAGGTGGGAGGAGAGACTGCGAGGAAGCTGGGGGCCTGGGAGGCCTGCTCTGTCATTCCAAGTGTGATGGCAAAGCTTAAGGGGTTCTGAGTCCAGGAATGATGTGATTAATGTTTAAAGATTCTCTCTTGCTGCCAAATGGAGAGCAGACTAAGGGGCAAGAATAGAAGCAGCGAGACCAGGCAGGAGGCTACCGTACCGTCAGGTGGGAGTGATGGTGGCTTGGACCAGATGGTGGCAGTGGGGGAGGTGAGCAGTGGATGGAGTCAGGACACCTTTTGAATGAGTGAAGAGAGCGCACAGCTGCACAGAGTGATGCTCTCCCAAAGAGTACAGCGTGGAAAGAGAGAAAAGAGTAACTTTACAGTGGAGAGGCCTGACAAACCCTACCTCAGCCAGATGATCAAGGTCAACACCATCGGTGATAAGTCACGTTGATGGTATGAACCCTGGACATGACTGGTGAGAATGGCACTTTACAACTCTGTGGTCCTCCTCCCCAAATCCCATTACCCCAGTCTAATCACGAGAAAAACATCAGACAAATCCCAGGAAACGGGCATCCTAAAATATACCCAACGAGTAACCTTCAAAACTGTCCAAGTCATCAAAAACAAGGAAAGTCTGAGAAACTGTCAAAGCCAAGAAGAGCCTAAGGAGACGTGACAATTAAATGCAATGTAGTGTCCCGGACCAGGGGTCCCAGACCAGGAAAAGGATGTTAGATAAAAACTAAAGAAATCTGAATCAAGTAAGGAATTTAGTGAATAATAATTTATTAATATTGGTGCTTTAGTTGTAATAAATGTACCACAATAATGTAAAATGTTAGCATTAGGGGAAACTAGGTGTAGGGTATGTATACAGGAACTATTCTAACCCTCCCTTTGTATCCTTTGGTGGACATAAGAAATGAAAACACAGATACAGTTACCATCCAATATTTTTCATTTCCATTTTTGTAAAAATTTGTTCTTGTAAAAAAAAAAAAAGAAAAAGTAATTAAGAAGGGCTGCAACTTTTAGATTTGCTTTTTGGGAAGATGCTAAATTGCAAACTTACTGTTCTATGACTGTGCATCTCAAGAGCAGATGCCTTTCCATCTCTACAAGTACATTTAGTCTTGCCAGGAGAAATGGCACCAAACTCAATGCTTCCAGCAGCATCTTGGAAGAATTACTTTCAAATCCAAAGCAGGAGAAAAATCTGCACAAGCGTAATTGACTCTATTAATATGCCAGATATAATTAGTGTGATGACACACTTCTTTTATCAAAACAACAAACAGACATAACGGGAATGAAATTTCAATGATCTTAAATCTAGAAGCTTTTCTAATTATAACGATTGCACCTTTTTTCCCCAGAACTATTTCATCTCTCTTTCCCCACATTTCATAAATTTTTTATCTTCGTGAATATTTTATTTTCATATGAACAATAAACCCATAGAGTAGAAACAAAAGGTGTTGTTAGTCCCACAAGGGGCAACGTGGAATAAATGAGAGAGCATTTGCACCTTGGAAACAGATCTAAGTTCAAATCCTGGTTCTGCCTCCCACTGGTCTTGTGGCCTTGAACTACCGGCTTCACTTTATAAGCCTCAGTTCCCTCATCTGTAAAATAGACAATAACTATTTGCAGGGTTGTCATGCAGATTAGAAATAATAGTAATAGCTAACATTTATTGAGTGTTTTCTATGCACCAGGCAGTTTTCATAAATTAACTCATCTAATTATCACAATAACATTGTGGGGTAAGTACTGTTACTGAGCCCATTTCACTGGGGAGGAAACTGAGGCCCAGAGAAATTAGGTGAGTTGCTCAAGATCACTGAAGAAATAAGTGGTGAAAGCCAGGATCTGAACCCCAGTGGTCAGGCTCTAGAATCTGTGTTTTCAGCACCTGGCAGACAATCAACAGACGGTGCTGTTAGTGTTATGACCCTCATTTTATAAGTGGTATCAGAGTCACAGAAAACGCTGCAGACGACCTGGGACTAGAATGCCTGCACCAACACAACACCCCCAGCAGGGTGATGGAGAGATGGTGCGGGCTGGCAGATGGGAGAGCAAGGGCAGGACCACCTAGTTCTTATTCTGCATCTATCCTCACAGCCAAGGGAAAGGATCAGGGGTTAACTGGAAGAGGAGAGAATCTCCTGAACAAATGGAGAAATGTAGCTGGATGGAAAGTGGCTAGATGAGTTTACATCTAGCAAAGAGGCCATTCCTAAAAAAAGCTGGCCATTGGCTTAGTGGCAGAAAAGAAGGTTATTTTTTGGCAAATGCCATTTCTGCATTTTGAATAAGGACAAAATGAGTTGCTCATTAAATCCACTGATAATCAAAAGCTAAGGGGATCAGGAAATATACTGGATCAAATGGTGAGGATCCAAAACTAATGGAAACTTTGGCTGCACAGAGGTGATGGTCTCCCTCTATTCTGCACTAGTCAGACCTGACCTGCAGTAACATCTTCAGTTCAGGGCCTCACATCTGAGAGGGATAAACCAGAGCACACACAAAGGAGGGTGACCAGGAAGATGAAAAGACTAGAAAACAGGACAAATAAGAATGGTTGAAAGAATAAGGATGATCGGCCCAGGAAAAGAGAAGTCTTGGTGGGCATAATGGCTGCTCTATTCAATACCCAGGCCATTACTTGGACAGTCAAGAATAAAACATGAGTTTCCATGATTTGGGTTTCTGGGTTACTCAACACCCACCCACTCCACCCACCCCAGTCCACCTTTGCTGACAAACTCCTTCTGGACCCCAATGAAGTAGCACCTTCTCTGTTGTTTTCTCCGATTCTCTCAGGCAGAGAAAGTTGTTCCAAGTATCCTCTACACATCCCTAGCTCTCTGTCGAGATGCCTGCAGAGGCCTCCACCAGGGGGCTGCATAATTCATCTGCTTACACAACTGGAACGAAGGAATGAAGAAAAGAGAACAATGGAGAAAGCTATATGAAGGCAGAATTCCTCAACCCACGGAAGAATTTCCCAAAAATCAGAACTGCCTCCAGGAGTAAGGCACTCCAGTCTGAGATGGAGATTCGAGCTGCCCTTTTCAGGATGCTTGGGGTCGGCGGTGGGAGGGAGGGTTCACAAAGGGCACAAAGGGCACTAGTCCAGATGACCTCTGAGGATGCTTCTCATCCTGGTTCCTGCAATGTGTACTCAAACTAGACTAGAGAAAAGAACGTTTGATTTTGAGTGTTTCTTTTTTCCTTCCTTATTATAAGCTCTTGACAATACTATGCATCAGAAGACATTCAAACATCTTTACATAAGAACACAATTCAAATCAGTGATGAGGGTAAAACACCGCCTATCATTTGAAGAATTCCTTTTAAAAGGAACTCAACAGGCTGCCCCTTCATCAGGCCTGGGAGAAACTACATCACTGCTCTGCAAGAAACAAGCGTGCCAACATCTCAGCTGAATCTCCACTAATGCATTGGACAGTCTTTTGTCAAAGAGACATCTAAAGATTTTTTTTAAAAAACAACTATCTTCTGGGTACAAAGTTTCAGTTATGCAAGATAAATAAGTTCTAGAGATCTATTATACGGCACAGTACCTATAGCTAACAATATTGTATTATATACTTTTTGCTAAGAGAGTAGATCTTATATTAAGTGTTCTTATCACACACACACAAAAACAACAATAATAATAATAAAGGGGGCAGGAGGAAACTTTGGGAGGTGATGGATAGTTTAAAACCTTGATGGGGGTGATGGTTTTACGGGTGTATACCTATCCCCAAACTCATCGAGTTGTATACATTAAATCTGTACAGCTTTTCACATGGCAATGTACCTCAATAAAACGGTTTAAAAAAAACTATCTTCCAGATAGAGTCATTTGGCATGGAACAAAATCTACTCATTCATTCAGCAATGTTTTACTAAATGGCGTCTATCTGCCAGGCACGAGACCAGGTCAGCTCACAGCTGTTCTTCAAATGTCTACAGGACGGGGGAGGACGACGGAAAGGTCCCCGTGCTCTCACCCGATGTTCATTGATGAGAAGGTCTCGAGCGGCATTAAATATCAGTGTGTGGAGGTGCTTTGAATAAAACACCAAGGTGTAGTCATAATCAAAGCCGTAGATTTCAATGTCCGACAGGCTCATCTCATTGTTTGAGAAAATGGCATCTGGATTCAACAAGTTGTTCATAATTGAAGGAACCAATTCTAGAAGTAAAGAAAAAAATACATTATACCATACAACAAATACGGGTAGCATGATTCCTAAATAAAATGAGTACACTAAAGTGCAAGAGTGATTTGCTTTACCTTGAAAACATTACGCTGAGTGGAGGAAGGCAGTCACAAAGGACTACACGTTGTATGATTCCATTTACATGAAATGTCTAGAATAGGCAGATCATAGACACAGAAAGTAGATCAGTGGTTTCCTAGGACTGGGGGGAAGGGGAGAAATGGAATGACTGCTAACGGGTATAGAGTTTCTTCTTGGGGATACGAAAATGTTCTAAAATTGATTATGGTGATATCTGAATAGCGGTTGTGAATATACTGAATGAGAGACTTTAAGTGGGTGAATTGTATGTGAATAATATCTTTTTTTTTTTTATTTTTTGTTTATTGCAGTAACATTGGTTTATAACACCGTAAAAATTTCAGGTGTACATCATTGTACTTCTATTTCTGCATAGATTACCTCATGTTCACCACCAAAATACTAATT